TCACTCTGCTCGAAATAAAATCTCTTTTTTTGATTGTTCTTTAAGATAGCACTTAGCAAATATGAATAATATGAATACTGGCCGCTTCATTGTCCGTTTAAAATTTGAAACCCAACACGAAATTTGCGAAATTATCCAGGGAAATTGTCATCGGGTTGATCAAAGAAAGAAACACTCAAATAACAACAAATTTCGTGCTGCTCTCTAATAAAATACATCAATTAACGGAAGTATTTATCTATCTACCATCACGGTAGCAAACAATCCCCAATTATGAAACAACTCGAAAATGAAATGGAATTGACAGAAATGTCAGAATGAAAATGATTTATGCATCATAATGAGCACTCAAATTCCATGTAAAAGCTTCAATGTACCACGTACAAACACAAAACAATAAGATAAAGCGGGTGAAGGCACACCACAAAAAGCCGAAAACAAGCGTTCGCTGGAAATATTTTGAAAAATCATGAGAACAGTGACATAAACAAGGGACTTTTTGATTACGTTTTCTTTTTTTTGGTAAGTAATACGAATAATAATCATTCGTGGGAATGCTTCCCTTGATTTCTCAAAGCATGATCCTAAAAGTGGAAGTACTGCAAATATTATAATCGCATACTTTCACCGAATTTTAGCGCATGGTGCGGAAAAACAAGTTATTTAAAATTCAGAAAAAGCCGGAGGAATCATTCCTCTTGAGTTGATTTGAAATTCAACAGGAAACTTCATTAACATCAGATGAAATTTACAACGAATAAAATAATAATAATAATAATAACAAGCAATCATTCCGTCGAATAAAATAATAACAACGAGCGATACGGAAACAGAACGAGTTATTCTTCAGCGATTGTCGATATTCCAGTTGTTTTCTCGTAAATCTCACGTTCTGATGGCTTAATAATACCCCATTTGACCGCAGCATCCAATGCACGTTGTGCTTCTTTCTGCGCTCCAGCACGACTTTTGTTCTTCAGTTTTGTTATGGCTACCAGAACGTTGAATATATCACTCTAAATAATTTTTTTCTAACTATCATCATTCGAACCTATCGCAATGAGATACATGAATTCTCAAACAAACGAAAAAACGCTCGGCGTAAAATATCTTATGCACACAGATACTATAAATGTTTTCATTATTTCAACAAAAAGATTGATTTAGTAATTTGAGGACGCAATGTAAAAAAAAAAACTGTAAGATCTGTATAAAGTTGAATGCCATATGAGTTTTCTAAGTTTCATCAAAGTTTCGACTGCTACGAATCAAAGTTCATGCAAAGAAATGATTATAAGCTCTATTCACAACAACATCTGATGCTCACTCGCAAATTGAACAATCTTCAAAACAATTCGTCAAAAACATGTTCGTTCATGTAAAACAGTCTGAAACAAACGATCAACTGCGAAAAACGAACCGCAATGATTTCTGAGGCCACTTTTTCCGAAGACTCGACCATATTGGCGATGGCAATAAGTCCTCGCCGTTGCACTTCACTCTGTTCAGCCATACAAATCTCTTTCAGAACATCCGTCCAACTTTTCATCTCATCAATAATTCGTTTGCACGCATCCTCATCTTCGGTCAACATCGCAAAACCGGCCGTCGAAGCCATTGCCAATCGTTCATCTTGTTCGGCCGAATACAGAACCCATAATTTCAGCCGATCGGTTCCTTTCTAAAAGTTATAACATTTAATCCCAGCAAAACAAATTTCATAATGACTCAGTACATCACTTAACCGATGATAACAACATGGTATTTTTAATGAATCTGTTCACCGATAACAAAACATTATCAATGCAAAATAACACTGTTCACTTCGAATGATCAGTGGGTGTTTATTCCGATTTCGAAATACACCAAATAAATGTAATGACTCAAACCATTCACTGAAGAGATTTTCCTAAACTTATGCATTTTTCGTGATTGAAGAATTAATCTAAAGACAAAAAGCTCTTACTCGAACAGTTTGTTTGAAGAAGTCTTCACAGAATAATAAATTTAAAAACAATTCGGCTGCAGCGGCGCGCAGATGCGGATGATCTGTCATATACCAATACTCCTCGGCTTTTGGCACCACTTTCTCCTTCAGAATACACTTACGAATCGAATCACTCACACTCGCCTGCCAACAAACAACAGGAAATTGATTGAAATCGTTCGAAATACGAAACAAATTCAAATTCCATTGAAACGTTTGTTTGAAAATCGGCAACAAAATGCGTTATTCGAGCAAGCAAGATCATACATAGTCTTACACTACTGATTCATTTAAATATTCCAATGAGATTGCATCATAAAAACTGCACACGAAACGAAGAAAAACGAACAAGATTGGTGAGCGTTAACAGCGCATCGTAGTTGGGTCTTCCCTCGATGTCAGGATGCAACAATTCAGCCAACGGCTTCACCACTTCATAGGCACGTTGTCCTGGGAAGGCGATCGTTGGGTCTGCCTACAATTTCAACGGACAATTTTATTTATCGAATAAAGCAATCCACAATCTGGAACTTCTTTCGTAAGAAAACTCTTCAGAGAAATAGAAATGAAGTATTCATTGTGCATAAGATATGACTTAAGAATGCTATCCCTCAACAGTTCAGCATTACTGAAGTATTACGTGGAGAATCAAAACAAATATGAATCGAATGGAACACTTTCTATTATTATACGGATTCAGCACAACTTTATTCTATCACTCACCATATATGTCGTAATTTTTCGGTTGTTTCTTTCAAGTGAAAAAAGATCTGTCCATGCAATCACACAAAATACCAAAATATCCACTATCAAAAAAATTTATGTTGAAAACAATCTCATGTTTAAACAACAAAACACGAAATAAAAGAATGAGTTATTGAGAACGAATTTAACTGAACTGCAATACCTCAGTGCCAAGTCGGGCAATCGCATGTGCAGCTTTTATTTTCCCTTCGGGCGTTGCTTCTTTTGTCAAACGAAGTAATAACTGAAAATGAAAGTACTTTCGAGAATAAATTTTAGAATCACTGCAAGCTACTCCCATGAATCTTTAACAATTTACTGTAGATCAGTTCGGAGTGAAATACCAGAACTGATTGAATGGCTTCTGTTAGTTGAAAATGCATACCTTCGCACCACCTTCACTTAGAATTTGTCCTCGAAGATCTTTAAATTCGGTGAATGCAAGCAAAGCTCTTGAGAGCATTTCCAAAGCATTCTTACTCTCAGTTTTCGAGATGGCAATGCACGCTGATGTTGCGCCATCTTTCACCAATGAACGAACCCTTTTCTCAATACAGTCCTCAGTATCCTTCGGATGTGTTTCTGGTACGTGATGCTTTGCAAACTGCAATTACTTATCTTATAGAGGCACATGTCTGCGATAGTATTGTGTTTGAAAATGCAAAGTGAATAATATGACTGCAACACATCGGAATGCTTACCTGTGCCAACTTCACCAACTCCTCATCGATTTTTGGCTTTTCATATGAATTTGTTAGATTCACATAGATGCTCGCCAAAGTATATACACACAATGCTCCGGCCGTCTTAAAGAAATCATAAACTGCTAATGAAAACGATTAGATTAATTCTGATGAAACTGAAGAGAATGATCAAGCAGAATGATCAAAAATGATCAAATATGACTGACAATACCTTTGCAAGCACTAATAAAGCCTGTAATAAGAGTGGGTCATCACATATCCATTCTTTGACATCCGCATCAAGCGATAAGTACGAGAGAGCTTCGCATGCAAACCTTCAAAATCATCAACTATGCATTTATGAAATGAATTCCAGTCAAGAATCCCTCAAATTACAAATTAACATCACTGGACAACTTCAGATATCACTGAGACGACTGGTGATTTATCGACGATGATCAATCGCTAAAAGAATATGGCAATAAGAACAGAAAATACCTTCGAACATCAACGCTATGTCGATCGATATCCAAAAGAAATTTCTTACAGGTGGACGCCAATTTGATGGTACTGCCCTCCTGCATTGTTTGCTTACTGGAATCATCACCACCCGCAGACGCACACTTACAGAGACCAACTAAGGCACGAACCCTTACATTGTCGTCGCTCGACTCATACAGCTTACGCAATATTGGTAATCCAAACTGCAAAACTTGTCGATACTGGATTCGAGTTGACAAGTGATAGATTCGAACAAAATCGATCACTTTTCATGGATGCTCAGTAAGATTAAGCCTTATGGGATTTACTTCCAGAGAATATACTTCAGAATTAGATCTATTAAAATTTTTGATTGCAGTTAATAAACACAATGCGAATGAATTCTGCAAATGAATAACTAATAATGATCAAGCAGAATCACCCGCAAACGTACACTTACAAATACATATCATATCAATTATCATATCAATGATAATTGCAATTAGTTTTCGTGCCACAACACAGCTCCATAACGTTTCGGTTGTAAACAAGATGGAGCGAAGGAAAAATGCAATCGAAACGAGCATAATAACCTTGAGTATGGTTGTTGCACGTTCGTGCTTACTCACTGTCTGTACGATTAGTTCAGCGGCAATACTCTGATGTAAATGATCGTCATCATCGGCCATTTCAAGCATCATTGCTGTGATATGATCGTTTGTGACCAAATTTATGCCCACATCAACTGGTCCCTAAAATATCGCTCAGTATGATATCGCAGTCTTCAGATAGACAACACAAAATCGTACGCGCCGCACTGAGAAAACTGCGCTTCAACGATGCTTTCGCCTATCAAAATTTGACATTTCAATGATAGAACCTTATGATGAAATCAAAATCTGTTCAGTTCTTCCGCAGAACTGATCTGTCCATTCAGGACTAACAGACCCTCGTTGGTCATGGAAGCCAAAACGTTCACAACACATTTTCGAGAATTGTGGGCGAGAAAGTTCATTCAATAATGAACTCATGTTTTTATCGCCTGTGAGATGATTTGAATGAGAATGATTTATCAGAAATAAAAACTAAGCGCTCACTTGAGATTCAAAAAAAAAATACCTGCAGTAGTGTTAACAACAATGAAGCCATTTTCACTTTTACTTTAGGATCGTCCAATTTCTCCATCAAATTGCTGAAAAAGAAAGAGAATCAACAGAGTTAGTGAGTTTTTTTTAAAAATCAAACACACGAATAAAATAGTCGATTCAGACATGACTTTCAAAACGAGAAGAACAGATTATTGAGCAATGAACCAACTTGAAAAAAGCGTCAACACGCTCCTTGTAAACCGCACGTCTATTATCAAAAACCATATCATCATTTAAACGTGCCAAACATATCGCTAAATGTTGACGCGTTTCTGCCGATACCGGATAATCGCATTGCTCAGGTACTTGAGTGGCTATGTGCAACAATTTCAGCANCTCGTAAATACCATAAATGTATCGGCACTTGACGATAAATGTGCTGTGTACATCTCTTCGAATAATAAAATTCTTTAAGATCTCAAAAAATTGCTGCCAAATGGTGACTCAGAATTAGACAATTTATGCGCATTAATTGAGACCAATCGTTGTTGGTGAATACGACAGCTTAGTTGGAATGAATGCATTTCGATAAGTGAGTGGACACACCTCGATCTTCAACAAAACGCCAACTCCAACCACGCGGCAGACCTCCATCCATATGCATCAAATTTTTCAGCAATAAGTCGATTAGTGTTTCCCTTACCGAAGCCGTTACCTTCACATCAGTTATCATCTCTTCTATTTCGAGCAATAATCGAATAATCAAAACCTTATTCGCTGAAATGAATTCAAGTGTGTTACTCTTGCAAACAGTCAGCATTAGAAATCAACCATGAAGAATTACAAAACAATCGCTCAGTTAGCTACGAACAACTGTGTGAGCGAATAAGCTCTAATCGTGTATCTCTGATATGAATATTGTCCTGTCATCAAATAAGATCAGAAAAGCAATCAATTCAATCGGAAGAAATAGTCGAAAATATTCACAAAGAAACGTTGATATGATGCAACAAAGAGAACTGATATGGATCTATTAATGATGAATCAGTGAACAAATCTAGAGATACCCTCGCAAACTTCTGGATCCGGTTTAATCTCCTTTTCTTCTGGATCCGGTTTAATCTCCTTTTGTCGGTCCATTTTTGCGAGTGCATTAAACATTCTCTGTATGATCACACCAGTAGCATCAACATATTGTTGATCGTTGCGTAGAGTTAATAACTTCAACAATTTTGGCATTCCCAGTTTATCGATAAGCTTCATTGCCTGCAACAAACAATTTCGTGCTACTTTAATCAGGTCAACAAACAATTTCGCGGTACTTTAATATAGCTGAATTATAAACAGTATTCCAATGGCAACAATCCGATGTGTCATCATCCAGTTCTCTTCCGTAATCGCAGTTCCCATCATAAACACTAACTCGTCAATCACTAATTGTAAGTGCAGCGATGAGATTATTCAAACCATCGTAATTGATTGAGATGCTATGCGCATGGTACGACTCGCCATTATCGCCCCATATTATAATTGTCAATTATTCTTGACAAACTTTGTGAGTGCTGATGTTCAGATGATGATAATGATGCTTGCTTGGATAGGTTTGGAAGTATAAATGAAGCCTTGAGCGTTTGTTTGCTCATGATGGCGCCTATCTATTTATGCATCGCTAGTTGTGGATTTGGTAAATATTTTCGATATGCCCACAAACTAGGCACTTCTCTAGGTTCACTTTTTCAAGCACACTTAGCGTTAGCGTTGTCACAACGCAAACCTTTTGATAGTTTCTTCGACATAGTGATATTCGAGAGGAAGATCACTCGTCAGATACGTAACGTAATAACAAGAACATCTGCTTTCTCGGTTAATTTGAGCTATTTTCATGGCACAGCATGACAGTGAATATGCCTGTCATAAGTGTGTGCTTTTGATCTGACCAAGTGTTTCATGTTTGTTTACGTAACCCCGAATACAGAGGAGGGTGCATTTTAATGCGATGTTTAACCAACACAACAAGAAAATATGAAGAAGGCCAAATTAACGTTATTCCCATTCACTTTGCACCTGGCTATTGCTATTGTTCTAAGAGTTCGGAAATAAGTGATATTTACAATCCGCATTCATAACAACGCACCTTGAAATGAACTAATAAACTTATTGTTAGAGCCAACTTATAATTTTCATCAGTGCTCTTTTTTCAACAAATTAAGAATATTCTCACTCTTTAGAGTTCGAAGACAAACGTTTCAATGATCAAAATTATTGTTTCTTTGACTAATAGATGACGGCAAACGTCATTAATGAAGGCTTATAAACATTCAGATGATATTGACGAAGTTTCAGAAAAAAACTGAAACGATTCAAAACAAAACGAATAAATAGGAATGAGCGTTACCCGTTTACTGTTCTTCACGACTTCATCGAGCACTCGCACAGCACCCAAAATATATTCTCCATCCATTTTCGTGTCGCTGATAATACCCAAAATTGTGTCAACAATCTTGCCATCATTCCACACCCGTTCTGCTCCTGTCTCAGAATCACGAGTCAACACCAGAAGATTGTTTATTGCCTTAAATGTCTTCATCTTACTATTGAAACCATGATCAATCTCGTCATTTGACTAGATTCGATTCAGATATGTTGATTGCTTGACATCGCTTATTGCTCAGATCATTATCATGAGGAGTGATCGACTGCACTACGAATAATTTATGCAGTTAGGTTGATTAGACATAAGTTAATGAGAAAGAGGACCATAATGCACTCTGCTGAAATAAAATTTAAAGGATTGACTAGAGGGCATCAAAATTGCACATAAGGAATTAGGCTGGTGGAAAAGGTTGAAGTAAATATTTCGAGGAACATTCAAAATCAAATTCCAAACTGACTTTATTTCGTTGTTCGGCATTACCTTCAACGAATGCAAGTTTGTTCATATCATTTACACGGTTTTCCAAACTCGACGCTTGCTTCTGTTTTTCTGTGTTCAAT